GAAGGGGGGGGGCAACCTGGGACAGGGCTCTACAACGCTCAGGGGGGCCCCACAGATTCCCAGACCCAAGGAGCAGACCCCACAGGGTGCAGGAACACTGCTGGGAGGGGAAGCAGGTGGGGGGAAGGAAATACCCTCCATCCATCAAGGCCGCGTCCTCTGCTGGGGATTCTCCCACTGCCACCGCCATGTCCAGAAGGAAACCAGCCCCCTTCCACCCCATGCCCCCCTTAGCTCCTTCTTGAAGGTCCCCCAGAGTGAGGGTTCAGCGAAACCAGAGGCTGGTGGCTGCCTCCGGGTGACCTTCCTCCCCCCTCCCCCCACAGGCAGAGCGCAGGGGAAGGGGCTTCTGGGACCAGGGGAGGGGGAAAGATGTACCAGGCTTGGACTTGGTATGACTTACTACAGCAGTTGGGATGTGGGATATGCGGGGGTGGGGGGGAACGCCAAGCATTCTCTAACCTGCCAGGCAGGAGACAATATGTTGGCACCACAGCCCTCGTCTCCGGCAGGGCAAGGGGCATCAAGTAAGGCAGGGGTCTGACCTAGCCCCAAATCTGCCCAAACTGCCCCTTCTCTCTCCCAGACAGAGCGCCAGAGAAGTGGGAGGCCAGCAGGCTAAATTTGCCACCTCCAAAATTGGAGCCCCTTGGAAGAGGGGAGGGGGCCGGGCCCACTTCCTTGGGAATCTTGCCCAGAGGGGAGGGGGCAGAGAAGCCAGAGCAGCCTGGGGGCAGGAGATGTCCTGGCTGCAAACAGGATGACCCTAAAAATTGACCCGAGGGAGCAGGCAGCAGTTCAGGGATGGTCTCCTCAAGGTTGCAGCATGGAGGGCCAAAAGTGGGGGGGGAGAGGGGGCAGGCAGCTGATGGAAGGGATTCAGGGGGCTTTTCATGCACCATTTTGGCCCACAAGATTCAAAGTCTCAAGAGTGGTCATTCCCCCCCAAGACACGGTTTCTTGCAGCAGATAAACTCATCTTACCATTCTGCCTTCCTTACTTGTATGGTAAAATATATTTGGGGGGGGTGTCCATCCTCTGGAGGAGAATGTGAGCTAAGAACACAGGGAGGAAATTGCCACTGGACTGCGTCCTCAGGGCTGGCACTAACTGTGTCTGAAGGAAGGACTTTCATGCCACTAGTCCTCATGTCTGCAGCAATGTGGGTGAAGACGGGAGCCTCCGCTGAAGCCTCGCTGAGCCTTCCAGAGATCATGGTCACGCAACCAATGGCCCAGAAGTCCTTCTGAGATACCGGCTTTCTCCAGAATGAAGTGACATTCCCACTCTGGCTTGGGGCTGTCTAGGAGACAAGATCTGATGATCTGGAACCAGGAGGACTGGAAACTCCTGTTGCCTCACGGCCCCTGCTTGTCTGCAGGCGGATCCGCGTTCAGACTGGGCTGAGCATCTCCTGCTGCCAGTCCGTGCAGGAAAACCTCAGCCGGGGGG